GGGATTGTAACCATGGCAATGAAGCAATATATGATAGGATGAATATAAAACTAATGTTCTCCCATGTAAACTATCACATAATTCACAATAAAACATTTTTAAAAAAATCAGTCAGTGGGGAAAAAAAATGGTCAGTGAAAACTGTATGGATCCCATTGTGAGAAAAATGTGGTGGTGAGAATTTGGGTTGGGGTCAACTCAACTGCAGCTAACAATTTAAAATGATACTCACCGTGTACTGAGGACTCCCAGTCACTGTGCTCAGCATATTACATACACATGTTTCAGTCCATCCTCACAGCAACCTTGTGGACAGACCTCTGTTAGCCTGGGTTTAAATGTTTCCTCCTGTACTCACATTAAACTGGTCCATCAGAAGAGTGAGTATCAATTCTGATCAAAGTGTTTTGGGGATTAAAAAACAAATCAACAATAAAAAAAAAAATCTAGATACAGAATTGTTAATAGGATATAAATTTACAAAACAATAATACCAAAAATGTCTCCATTATTTAGGAAATGGGAGCTTAGTGGCTCCATATGATAAGCACTGGATTGTGAACCACAAGGTCTGAGGTTTGAGCCCACCAGTCACTCTGTGGGAGAAAGATGAGGTTTTCTGCTCCCTCGAAGATGTAAAGCCTCGGAAACCCTTTATTGGGTTGCTATGAGTGAGAACTGACTGGATGGCACTTAACATTTAATCGATATGTCTTAGTTTCTAAGTACTGTTATAACAAGTGAGTGGCTTTAACAACCAGTACAGGAGACTAGAAGTCCAAATTCAGAACCCCAGCTCCAGGGGAAGGCTCTCCCTGTCTGTTCCTGGGGGAAATCGTTGTCATTTCCAGATTCTCCTCATGATCTTCACGAAGCACCTATCTTTTCCCAATTGTGTTTCCTTGCTGCTAATCTGCTAATCTTGCCTAATCTGTTGCTTTTATATCTCTAAAATGATTAGTTTAAAACATTCCCTACATTGATATTGACTTATTAACATAAAAAAGAAAACCCTCTTCCCAAATGGGATTATGTTCACATGTTTAAGGGTTAGGATTTACAACACATATTTTGGGGGGGAACAATTCAATCATTAACATTGTGTGATAGTTCATTTAACCTATTTTATTTTGTAAGAAGACAAACTCAGAAAATTTGTCATTTAATTGAAAATAGTTATGTTTTTGCTTTATGTTGAGGAGAGATGTTAGCCTGTCCACTGTCTTCATCTAGAAATTGGAAATCCCACCTCCCCGTAATAGTTTACTACTGGGTGGTGTAAATGGTTAACATGCTCAACTGCTAACCAAAAATTTGGAGATTCGGTGAGTAGTATTTAATCTATCTAGGCGGGGTTGATGCAATGAAAT